GTTTTTTTTTTGCTTTCCCACGAAAGCCTATACGCATACATGTTCTCATACGTGCTACATGTGCTGTCAATCTCCGTTACTTGATTATTCTTGTTGTAGTTGGCAAATAGTATAAGTTATAGGGGAACCAGGATAGCTCAGTCGGTATAGACACTAGCTACGGGATGGACGACCGAGGGGTCGGGAGTTCGAGTCCTGTTAGGATGAAGAGTTTCCTCTTCTCCATGTCGTTTGAGACTGCCTCTGGGATCTACCCACCCTCCTATCCAATGGTTTGGTGGGGCTATTTCTTTCGGGGGAAAGCGACCGGGGCATGAAGCTGATCACTCACCTCCAACCAGTGCTGTGGTGAAGAAAATGTGGATCTATACATCCACTCCCCCATACTCCTTCATGGCATAGCGCTTAATTAGTTAAGCACAGGGACAGTTTTACCTTTTTATGTAATAACATAGATGCAGTTGGCAGCTTTAGTTAATAGTTGAGATGCTGCAACTAGATTTTTATTAAATTTGACTAATTGGGATGTTTCCTAATGTTTTACAGTTTATTCAGATTGTGGTTTGACTTTGATACGAATAGCGGATAGTTGACATGGAGAATTGCATTTCATTTGAAGGAAACTCACTAAATATGGGAATAGAACAGGTTTCGGCCCTAAATTGGACAGAGGAAATAGGCACGCATTTTATGCTGATTACAAATTTTCAGTAAGTCTTGTAGGTTTCGTGATAATTATGCTGTATCGTTGCCTCAGCCATCGAGAACTTAAATCTGTGGTTAATAGCGGAAACAGCTGCCCAGAATTGTCGCCCTGCGCCTACATTCAGTCGTGAAGAAGGCGACGAAGAGCGATTTGGAATGAAACGAGAAAAATAATTCGTAGAAATTCTTAAGTCTGTAGAAAGTCCAAAGAAACGCCTTTAATATATAAACTAGAGGGAAGGAAATAGGTACGTATCTTTAGAGAAAGTTACTCTGTTACGTATATTTATTATCAGTGTTTCTTGATGGGTTGTTACGCGGATGTTGAAAATTTTCCTCCTGAAAAGTCCTCGTTTATATCCTAAATTGCTGAAAGTCTGTTACAGTTAATTCATAATTAAAGTTAGTGTTAAGTTTCCATAAGTTCCAAGGGCAGATGGCGTTAGCTTTTGGAAACCCCTTTGTTCTTTATATTTCAAAAATATGAAACTCACAGACTCGTGCATTCCATTATTCCCTTCACGCGCCTTATGTTTGCCTTTGACCTTGAAGTAATTAGAAGATATATCTAAAATATCTTTGAAGTTGCGTCGTCATCAGATAATGACGTAGAGCGTTACGTCTTTAATAACGGCGGGATGTGGGTTGGATGGCCCGGGTTTGATTCCCGGTAGTGCAAGATTTTCACTCCTCAGATCCTCAAGACCGGCTCTGGGGCCCATCCAGCGTGTGCCGGAGGTAAAGTGGCCGGGGCGTGAAGCTGACCAGTCACCTCCATCTATTGCGGAAGTCAAGTATGGTGCAGCGATACCTCCACTTCCCGTATGTCTTAAAGGCATAGCGATTAACTGATTAATCACACGGTTGCTGGATTGTGTTGGATTTGTTGTTGTTACGGCTGTTAGTGTGAATAGTACGGTCTTTCTCGGCTGTAAGGTCTTCTAGTTCGGAGAGATAGCGACGTTTCGGAGGAACATATTGCCTCCATCTTGCGTTGGAAAGTCAAACAAGAAACCAGCAAAACAGGCGTTAAGCAGAGCTGAGCTTCCTGCCTGCTTCTGTCCATTTCCTGTTCGGGTCCAGAATACGGTGCTCTTTAACTGAATAAATTCTTCAGAATTTAATCGTCAAGTCCTAAAACACCATGCGTAGCTCCACTCTGCTATTTGGCCCTGTACACAGTTTACTGTGATATTATTAGTGTTCCATTGTTCACTAAATACAGTTTAATATCGATTGTTGTGTCAGTTGAAAGCTAAATGCCTTAAGCGATTAGCCGCGCTGATTAGACCATTGTTGCAATGCAAATTATTCTTTGAATCACTCATTGTGCTTGTGTACGCTCGGGCAATGTCGCTCCAGAGTAAACCTTATTAATCTCCTGAATAGTGCCTGATAGTTATGCAACCCATTCAGCACGTGAGGTGTGCGAGCAAGTATAATCAATGGGCGTGTATCTAAAGAGCGTACTATTGCATGAGGTGGAAGTTTGTGTGCCTTATGCGTGTTACAAACAGATTATAAAGGCAGTCATCACGGATAATTTCAGCTGGATGGGAGAATGGAAGAGAGAGATTCAAAATAAACCAAGTGCATCCAGAATGGTGGAAAAAAGGCGCAGGAAGAGATTGAGACATCGATACAGCCATGTTGATGGTGGATATAAAGAGAAAGTTATGAACGTAGGCCTTAAATTAAGCCATGACCGTTTCCTTCCCCATCCTTGCCAGTTAGTTACTATCATTCAATCGCTGGACGTTGTGTAGTCAGAGTTTCTGAGTCTCACATGTTGCGGCTCCCAGTCGACGGAACTGGGAACCAAGACTGTGCTGGCGAGGACCACCAGAAATTTATCCGATCGACCGTCGTTAAATAAACTACAAAAAAAAACATGTTTGCGCATTCTTAACGTCTACGTTAATGGAGTGTACATTATGAATGATATTTTTTAAGAAGATTATAGTTGCTCAGCTAGTCTAAAAATTTCCCATTTTCTTATAAAACGAAAGTTTCATTATGCCCTACCGTGTCAAATTTTGAGGTTCATATGTATATGACTCGATGTGTTGTGGGATGCGAAGCTATATAGTGTGGTAGATAAGTTAAAAAAATGTTTCGGATGAACTTCGTGCCTCTATTTTCAGGATTAATGAATAAGCCGGACGAGAAATATCAATTATATATTGTAAGTAGGATAAGGGGTGGGTTCGTAGTTTGGAACCAATGGGAGGAATGGAAAAAAAATAATGGGATTGTGAGACCTCACCCTTCTACCCTGAAGATGGAGGAATTAATTTCCTCCGAAATATTCGTAAATATCTACAACAGCAGCTGCCATTGTTGCTGCATGGTTTCTGGTGATTCCTTGCTTGTCTTATTCTTCGGTCTTGAAAGTTGAGGCTGGAGAGTCATGCAAAATGTCGGTATACCCCTACCAGACTCTACGGCATCACATTCAAAAATGTACTCTTCATACCGCCTTGAGAAACCCGAATGTCACTATCCTTATTTCGTGGCTGGGCGCACCGAATTTTCCATGCGATGTTTGGTCGCCTAATGGTCCGATAACATTTCGTAGGAGGTTATGGTCATGCCCCTTCGTCCGTACATCCGTGGTACAGCGCCAGTGTCGCCCTCAGCGAACGGATTTGCGAACTTCGTTGTTATGGGATATTTCTTTTCACCAGATCAAAAATTCCCTGGGTCTTCTACAGCCGGAAACATCAACGACATCGATTCAAAGGCCTGAACGAGGTATTGTGATAGGATTTGTAAGAAGCTATCTAATTTTACTGTCGTGTGATCAGATTTTGCCTAGCAGCCATGTTGTTTTACGTTCTAAAATAAACTACAGCCAACGTTGCATATTTTTCGAAGTCTGTATTGTCGTTTAACATTTCAGAGTTTTATATTGTGACATGACATCTACAAGGCGGAATAGTGGTGCTGTTGCTAGGCAACGGCTCTGTAAATACGTATCTGCGGCAACTGATGCGCGCGCAACAGTAGAGGAACTGTTAAAAAGGGTGCCTTCTATACACTCCGTGCCGAGGCTGAAAAGTTGAGTTAGTTATGAGCTGGTAGCCAGCCGGCAACAACGGAAGCACGAGCTTAGAAGAATCTATATTGTTGGGAACCGTTACCAAGCACCGACCAATGAAATCTATAATAGACCCAGCGTGATGTAATGATTTTTAAAGTGTGTAAATCAGACTGTTGGAGTTATTTGCAGTTACAAATGATAAACATTCAATAAATCCAATTACCAATCCAAACCACCCATATAGTCACTAACACGTGACAGTATTAATTTGAATTAATGTTGCATTCACCTCATTAGTTCGCACAACATTCTTATTATTATTTTACAGGAGGCGAAAATACAAAGATTAGAACCTCCTGGGATATAACTCCTTTAGTATGATATATGCCAAGATTTTCGAGGAACGTCTTGCCAATATGTCCCACTTTCTCCCAGAGGATCGAGGCAGAAAGTAGCTCCGAAATGTCGCCTAGTTACCAGATTACACGCCATCACATCCCAGAAGATAACAATCTTCATAATCGTCACTGTGAGAACCTGAAATCCTACATTTTAGTATGTTAGTTTGGTCACGAAAATCAAGCAGCGCCTTGCAACTGTGTCTAGATTACACGTATAACACATGTGTCGGAGAAGTTGCCTCGGTATGTAGGCGTTTGGGTGGTGATTGCGCAGGCTGCTGGCGTACCAAAGCGAATCGAGTTTGCAGAGAGAGATTGCGAAGGCAGGCAGGCCCATTTGTCCTGCATACAGTTCCTATGTGCCTCTCTCGTCCTGCTTGAGTTCAGTCGAATGGAACAGGGTGCTTTATAAATCGGTGGACCTCACATATTACCGTCATATAATTTAGTAACCTTAAAGTTATCCTTGTGATTAATTAATTAAGCACTGTGCTATAAAGAAGTGTCAGAAAGTTGAGATATAGCTCCAACATTCTTGACCTCGGCACTAGATTTAGATGAGTGGTCAGCTTCACGCCCCGACCGCTTTATCCCTGCGCAAGGAAACCCCGGTATCCATTGTATAGGAGTCTGGGTGGGACACAGAGCCAGTCTTACGCTGTGGATTGAAGAAAAATTTCTTGGTCCTGCCTGGAATCGAACCTCGGCCGTCCAGTGGGTACCGGTGGATCTTTCTCCGGGGTGGGACCTACGTAAGACAGGACCGCCCCAATTCGACAGTCATTAAATCCCTGTGATGAAAGCCAATCGGTGTCTTGTGCGCTACAGCCTCATACTTTGTGTGCCCGCAGATACGACTATGAGGTGCTTCTGCAGAATTCGACGTTCTGTCTCGTCCCCCGAGGACGTCGTTTGGGCTCCTTCCGGTTCCTGGAGGCGCTACATGCTGGCTGTATCCCTGTGCTGCTATCTAACGGCTGGGCTCTCCCGTTCGCACAAGTCATCGACTGGAACAAGGCTGTCATCTGGGCCGACGAGCGTCTGCTTCTGCAGGTAAGCCTCAGTTTTCGACGTAATAAGGCAAGGACTTTGTATGGCTGTTTTTGGTCAATTCTAAATTAAAGGCAAAAGGCTAAAGTTTTCCTGTGCTAAATTAATGAAGCTGCATGCCAAGGAGAGGCGATCGCGTTGGTGGCCCGGTCTCAGGCATGGACTCTCTTCTCCCGCTCAAACACTGGTATCGTGGGTTCGAATCTCACTCGACATATGAATATCTCTATGCGTTTATTCTGTGTTGTATTGTTCTGTGTGTAGGTAGAGGCCTTGCGACGAGCTGATCTGCCGTCCAAGGAGCCCTACCGACTGTTTATAGGATCAAGAAACTGGAAAAGCGGCCAAGGCCCAACTTTAACGTAGAGCCATAATAATAATAATAATAATAATAATATACCATGAAGACATGTTGGAGTGAAGGTATTCTTGATCTCGGCACTAGTAGGCGAGTGGTCAGCTTCACGCCCCGGCCGGTTTATCCACGAGAAATTCCACCAAGGTACCAATCGATACGAGGCTGAATGGGTCCCAGGGCCGATTTGGGCGCCGTAGGGAACAGAAAAATTTTCCCTATGCCGGGACTTGCATCCCGGCCTCCCTTCCTGCAGCAGTTGCCTATAGTGACTTAGCTACCTCGAGTTATAATTAAAAAACAGGAGATGTGGTCCCAAAACAAAATCAGTGAGAAACTTCAGGGACCGCTCGCGTATATCATACCAGACATCATGCCCCGTTTTAGGATATGCGTACTGGAATGAACTCAGTAAAATCACGAAGAATCTCATGATTGGCCGCATTCTTGACCTAGAATCGAACATGTGGTCTTCCCAACGCGAAGCGAAGTGCTAACGGTGATTTCAGGTGCCCGCCTCGGAACGCGCAGCCGCAGGTGTCCCCACTGTGTGACGTCACGGCTCTTTAGATTATGTACAATTGATGCAGCTTGTTACGAGCCGCATATGCTTAATGGGATTGCTGGTCTGGGTAATGGTTTGTTTGAGGACGCTCTGCAGATGGGAATATTAGGATGAAGTGACAGGAGACTGGAGAAGACTACATACTGAGGAGCTTCATAACTTGTACTCTTCTCCAAGTATAATTAGAATGATCAAGTCAAGGAGGATGAGATGGACAGGGCATTTAGCACGAATTGTGAAGAAGAGGAATGCATATATGATATTGATATGAAAGCCAGAACGAAAGGGACCGCTAGGAAGACCTCGACATAGATGAGAGGGGTCATTTACTAGGTCGAGCCCTATTTTGATCTGTATTTTCCGGACGCAGGGGTGGTGTAATTCATGCGCTCATGTAATGCTGCTCTGGGTCAGAGTTCATTCATTCATTCATTCATTCATTATTGGAGGGGGTGGGTTTCCCCATGCACCGCGACCACTTGTTGATCTATTGTACGTCCCCCTTTGATATTCTACCAGTCGCCATACCCTTCCGATACTGATGCTTGCTATGAGCCCCGTTCAGCCAGCGAGTTCGGTCCCTCTACCCGATACTTCCCCCATCTACTGGAGGCATTGGGAACTACTTGGGCGGGAAACTTTTTACCTAATTTTGCTCAAAGGTCTCCTAGAGACACGAGGATCTTTTACGTGCCGTAAATCTACGACACGGGACCCACGGCTTAAAGTCCCTCCCGGAGGACTTGTTCCCTGAATTTTTCCGCCCTTAAAAATTCCACGACCTCCGCCGGGTTTGAACCCACGTACCTTGAGTAATGAGGTGGGAACGTTACCCCTAGACTACGGAGGCCGCTTTGGGTCAGAGTTAGTTGGGTCTGAAGTTCTCACGGCTGATTCGACACCGTATAGTTTGGTAAATCGGTCTCCATCTTCAGGTTAGACTGGACATGCTACTAACATGAAGAAGTAGAGAGTGAATTGGCTTTTCTGCTCTGGAGGTGGTCGCAGCAGAGCGTCTCACCTTGAAGATTGAGTCAGCAGGATGTCTCTTCTACTCTGACAGTGGAGGCAGCAGGTTGTATCTCCTACCCTGAAGATGGAAGCAATAGAGTGTATATTCTGCCCTGAAGATGGAGGCAGGAGGAGCCTCCACACTGCGTGTCGACACATCCCAGGAGCCCGGAATCTCCAGACGTAACGCTAGGTCGGTCTGTGCAGTGAGCGAGTCTCCCATGTCTGTGCGCCACTTCTTGCCCCCCACTTCACCCTCATTTCTTATGCACGTCGGCGGCTTAATAACACCGAAGCTTCAATTCATCATTTCCCTCGAAGCCGTGAAAGAGGAAAGTGTGGGTTGCAGAATGGCAAGGCGGGGAATGAGGTTTGTGGTTGCTGGTAGAGGACAATTTTGAGGCGAATTTGTGAGGTTAGGTTGGCTGGGTAAATGGATTCGAGGGATATAGAAAATCAATATGTGTTATACATGTATTGTGTGCTCTTGGTGGCCTGCGGGTTTGTGTCTAAGCAAAACCAAAGGAGAATGTGCGTTGTAATTTTCCTGTATACGGGGGTATTGTAATTTTACGGCAATTTTCACTCTTCTGTTATTCAGCTCCGTTGCTTGCGTGTGGTTACCAACTTTCTTCCATACTACAAAGTTGTGGTCAGCGCAATCAAAATCGATTCCAACTACAATCTAATCAATGCCTCATCTAATTTTACTCCTGCAGTTAAATTACTATATACTACTGGAATAGGGAGTCAGTATAGCTGCGGGCTAGACGTTCCAGCTTCTATCCCCGGCATGGCAATACTTTTTCTCTTCTCCACGTCGTCCAGCCTCCTATCCAATCGGTACCGGGGGCGATTTCCCCGGCGATAAAGCGGCCAGGGCATGAAGCTCACACTCCATCTAGTGCCGAGGTCAATAATGGTGGAGGTATACCTCCACTCCCCCATGCCTTCATGGCATAATGCTTAATTAACGAAACACAGACAAAAATTTACTTTACTATTGGAATACCCTCTGAAAATTCAACTGTAAAGTTTTACATTTCCCATCTCTGGCCGAGGTTGCTGTAAATAACCCTTCCTGTAATCCAGTGCTACACGTTATAGCCCTTAAGGGACCCTCTGAAAGGAAGGTTTCACTGAATGCGCACAGTCGGTAACTCGAGAAGTTATGGATGACAGTTTCATGGCATATGCATAATGGTGATAGTGTAGAGATACAGTTTCCTTGGAAATGTCGACATTGCAGTACCGGATAAAATACTGCCCCTTATTGCTGCCATCTGGTGGCCCTACCGTTAACTCAATTAGATAAATATAACATTTGATTTTCGTAGAAACGAGAAACAGATACTCTCTGCCTTACGCGTAGGAAGTAAATGTAAACTTTTCATTTTTGTTCATTGGTACTAAACCCCGAATCAGGCATAAACTTTCTCTGTAGGCAGATGGTCGTTCTCCCTGCATGAAGGATCGGTCCTATGGATCCTTAGAGCCTTTCCTAAAAAGAATGGTCCCAGTTACATATTCTCTGCTTTATAATAAAACGCAAATGTAAAGTTGTCCCTGTTCCGAATTAATTAAGCACTTCGCCTTGATGGCGTATAGGGAAGTGGATTATAACTCCACCAATCTTGACCTTGACACTAGATGGAGGTGAGTGGTCATCTTCATGCCATGGCTGCTTTGCCTCCAGGGAAAGAGCCCCAGTACCCATTGAATAGGACGCTGGGTGGAACTCAGAGGCGGACTGGATGATGTGTTATAGAGATTTTTTTTTTTGTCCTGCCGAGATTCGAATACCGGCCGTCCAGCCGGTCGCTATACCAAGTGAACTATCCCGGCCCCCCGCGTTTTAGCAACAACAATGTAATAATGGATTCTTTGTGTATTAAACGACGCTGTTTGGTATTTTTATTGCTAGTGGGGTGGGTCAAGTCCCTTGTACTGCGGCCACTTCTGGCCTATTGTACCAGCCCCAGATGATAGGTGAGGGTGATTGTGGAGCAATTGGTGGAATGAAGATTGGCAGGGGAAACCGAAGAACTTGGAGAAAACATTCCCCAGCGCCACTTTGTCCACCACAAATCCCACTTGACCAGACCCGGGATCGAACCCGGGCCGCCGCCGTGGGAAGCCAGCCACTAACCGCTTGAGCTATGGCGCGGCCCCACGCTGTTTAGTTAGTGTTATCTGGATATGAGAAATTTTCCCGTTCGTGCTGCACTCTACGTAGGAATTGGCGGCAACGCGTTCTGTCTCCTTCGCGACAGAGGAATGAACGCCTGTCTCTTCACAAGACGACACAAAAAGCAAAAAAGAAAAAAGAAAACTCCGTGGTCTTAGTCCGCAAGCGAACTATACCGACCGAGCGACCGGCGCTTGTCGGCGAAGTTAGTGCCAACTTTAGCGGATAGAGGGTGTCGCGTGGTCAGCGCAACGAATCCCTACGGCTGTTAATCTCGGTTTTCTAGACAGGAGCCGCTATTTCCTTGAAATACCTGCTCAGTTTTCCTCACCAGGCTGAGTAGACCCCGTTCCAGACCCACTACTTCTCAGAAAATCTGGTAGCGACGGGAATCGAACCCGGGATCTCTGGATCCATAGCAAGGAACTCTGACCACTAGACCACAGAGGCGATCACAGAAGAAGACACATCAGGTGGAAATTTCTAAGGGCTATCTGATCATTGCTGGCCTCCGAATTGAATTTTTTGATGATCGGCTGTTTACCGCTTTCCACGTTTCGTAAATTTCCACCGGCCATAAGTCGCGGTTCTAATGCGTGTCTTCGCACTGAGTGCGTAAAGTGAAGCGCTGATGAGGAATTCGTGTCCCTTTCGCCAGTCCATGTGTCCCATTTCCCATACCTCCCATGGCTTCCATCAGAATTCCCACTGACGCTCCTGCACTGTATCCTGTCTCGTGTTTTATTCATCCATTCATGAATGACTCTACAGCCCTTTGGACCTTTTCAGTTTCTGAATCTTATACACAGTCGGTAGGACTCTTTTGACGGGGGATCAGCCCCTCCCAAGGGCGCTGCCTACACACAGAACAGCACAGACGCAGAATAAAAGCACACATAAACATCCATGCCTTTAGTGGAATGCGTACAGCCTTGTTCTCTGCTGCTTACATTTGGAGGCGTACGTATTCACTCGTGGAGCTGAGCCCTTCTGGAGGAGCCGCCAGTTTTGCAACTACTCAGCATTTTATGGAACTCGGAGGTTCATTACCGTGTTCACAAGACCCCTCCACTGGCCCCTATCCTGAGCCAGATCAATCCAATCCATCCCATTCCATCCTATCTCTCTAAGATCCATTTTAATATTGTCCACCCACCTACGCCTTGGTCTTCCCAGTGGGACTTATTATTATTATTATTATTATTATTATTATTAGACATATACATGTGGAGTTGTGATAGCTCAGTCGGTATAGCTATGGGCTGGAAGGCTGGGGTTCGATTCCTGCAGGTGAAAGATTTTTCTCTTCACAGCGTCCAGCCGGCTCTGGGGCCACCCATCTTATGTAATGGGTGCCGGGGGTAAAGTGGCCGGGGTGTGAAACTGACCTCAATCTAGTGTCGAGATCAAGAATGGTGGATGTGCACCCCCCCTCCCCCCATACGCCTTCATGGCGTGGTGCTTAATTAAGTAAGAACACGTGACCCTTGGCCGCAGATTGGCTCTGTAACAGCGTCGGCATATTTGAATAATTTCGTTAGCATTTTGTTAGGCTCAGTACTGCGTATATTGCAGAGTTACATGGCCTCTGTTTGTTATGCCCTATATATGTGTGTATTGTGTTGACTGTGCTTCTCTTCGTATTTGTTTGTTCTGCCTCTGCAGTTGGTTCCGTTTGTACTGCATTAACTCGTTACAAATAAAGAAATAAGATGTTTCGGGACGAACCAATCACCTGCTTTCCTATGTTACGACGCGGACCACATAGAAAACGAAAAATTTAGGGGGGACACAGATAGATGGACACACACAGACAGTAATGTAATCTCATAAGTTTTCCTTTATTTTTGGAATAAAGAAGTATTATTATTATTATTATTATTATTGTTATTCACTGGCTCTACAGCCCCCTTGGGTCCCGGTCTCTAATTTTTTCAGTTTCGTGATCATTTTACAGACGGTGGGACTCCTTGGACGGGTGATCAGCTCGTCGCATGGCGTCTACCTAAACCCAGGACAACACAAACACATACTAAACATGTGAGATTCGATCCCACGATCCCGGCTTCCGAGCGAGCGAAGACAGAACATGTCTTAGACCACTCGGCTACCGTGACCACCATTATTATTATTATTATTAAATGCCAGAAGATTTTTTACTCAGTTTATTTAACTACACTGTCAGTAATGCAGTGTAATGATGGTGATAATGAATTCGAAAGTATGTGGAAGAAGCAGTCGGGGTCCGTTTTAGAGTCCCATTCAAGATAGTCGGTGTCCCTCTGTCTTGCGGACTGGAGCACTGCTGCTGGAGGCAACTCGCTCGGTCAGTACAGGTTGTGGTGTGTGGTGTTGGCAGGTGCCGGACGTGGTGCGCTCTGTGAACGCGACCAAGGTGTTGGCGTTACGTCAGCAGACGCAGATCCTCTGGGAACGTTACTTTTCGTCCATCGAGAAAATTGTCTTCACCACGCTGGAGGTGAGTACTGACAGTCAGCTGTAATTGCTAAATGAAAAATACAAGGTAAAGCTATCCCTGTAACAGGCCGTTGAGGCCCATAGGGTTGTGAGACGTCGAGGCTCCCACATTTTGTAGACAATCGGCTCACAGATGGAGGTGAGGTCAGCCTTACACACCGGCCGCCCTTTACCCCCAGGAAGATTCCTGGTACTCATTTCTGTTATAGGCTTAATCGACCCCAGGGCCATAGTGCGGCCGGAAGGGTTAGATCAATTAAAAAATCCAGTGACCTCATCGGGAATGAAACCGGCGACCTTCCGGCTCGTAGCATAGTGCCTCAACCAACTACGCTACCGCGTGCCCTGATACTATGATCAGTGAATAATGAATTGGATAGAATATGGAAGGAGTCGGTCGTGAGGTAATTCTAGGTATTCCGGAATCTGCGACTGAGGAAAACCACTTAGGGTATGGTTGAGATTCGAAACTGGGATCTCTGAAATATGAAGCATAATTGAAATCAGTTTAAAATGGATATATATTTATCCCATATTTTTAATCATCCTGTGGCAGAAGTTAGAAGTTCTTAAGTAAGCTGTAAAAATAGCGGCCTCCGTAGTCTAGAGGTAACGTTCCCACCTCATGACTCGTAGTACGCGGGTTCAAATACCCGGCGGAGGTCGTCGAATTTTTAAGGGCGGAAAAATTCAGGGAACAAGTCCTCCGGGAGGGACTTTAAGCCGTGGGTCCCGTGTCGTAGCTTTACGGCACGTAAAAGAACCTCATACCTCCAAAGGAGGTCACTGAGTAAAATTGCGGACGTTTGCCGCCCAACAGCAGTCACTAATACCTCCGGTAGATGGGGGAAGCATTATAGATACTTCTCAGCTAGTAGAGCCGGTCTCGCTGGCTGGGCGGGACTGATGGTAAGCACCAATACCGGTAGGATATAGAGGCTGGTAGAAATCATAGAGGGAAGCACAATGGACCACTACAGGTCTAAGTGCATGGGGAAACCCACCCTCTCTAATAACTAACTAACTAACAAAGCTGTAAAAATATAATTGTTTTTGTACTTTCTCCTCTTGAATTTGACTTCTTGAACGACAAAACATTGCAGACACGTCGTTTAGGCAAACATGCAAAATTACATATTCTAGTCAGAATCGGTATAGCAGCGGGATACGGGATTGACAGCCCAGGTTTGATTCCCGGCATGAACAGATTTTTTTTTATTCTCCTCAGCGTCCAAACCGGCTCTGGGTCCCACCTAACCTCCTTTCCAATTGGTACCAGCGGCGATTTCCCCGGGAGTAAAGCGGCCATTGTGTGAAGCTGACCACTCGCCACCATCTAGTGCCGAAGTTAAGAATGGTGGAGCTATGTCTCCATTTCCCCATATGTCTTCATGGCATAATGCTTAATTATTCGCAGGGACAACTTTACCTTCTATGTTTAAGTATTACGCTCTAACCGGACGACAATCGAGTCTGTTTATTGGATGGCAACGCAGCACGCAATTTCTATGTCACTTTTCCTGCAAAGAGCCACTTAATCATTACTGAAATGGATTTAATGTTACTTCTGGAACGTAATTAATTTATTCCTACTACAAGACTTTGATGTGTGTTTCCTTTCAAGTCGTTTCCCAGTGAAGTTGAACCAAGTCCAGTTTACGTATGTACGAATGTCACGCTGATCTATGTCCGGTTCGGGTTTTATATTTCATTGTTCGGGTACGTTTATTGTATTCAAATCGATAGTGAATAACAGCGGAACTTGTTCATTGTTACATTAATATATGCCAACGTCTCACCGGACGACACCAAAACCTTCAGAAGGTAACTGAAAAATATCAATAAGTTGACCTAGTTGACGGAAATTTATTTTATGCTCGAACTGTATACCGGTATTTGTGTGACGCCATTGTTGAAGTGTTTTGTTTCGTCGTATTTCTGTTGACTTGCGCACTGGTCATTAAGCACTCGGTTACGATGTGTTCTTCTCGACTCATCCAACGTGGCGCACTTAGAGAGGTGATTAATAATTGCCTGACTTCAAACAATACCGGGTACTGACACAGGAATTGTAAATAATGAATGAGCCTCAAGCAGTAGTCGGATACTAGCACAGAAATCTTAAATAGTGGATGAGCCTCAAGCAATAGTCGGATACTAGCACAGGAATCTTAAATAGTGGATGAGTCTCAAGCAATATTCGGATACTAGCACAGAAAACTTAAATAGTGGATGAGCCTCAAGCAATAGTCGGATACAAGCACAGAAACCTTAAATAGTGGATGAGCCTCAAGCAATAGTCGGATACTAGCACAGGAATCGTAAATAGTGGATGAGTCTCAAGCAATATTCGGATACTAGCACAGAAAACTTAAATAGTGGATGAGCCTCAAGCAATAGTCGGATACTAGCACAGAAACCTTAAACAGTGGATGAGCCTCAAGGAACCGTCGGATACTGGCACACAACATTTTCATATTGTCCTGGCCAGCTTTTCCAATTGCGCTGTAATATCCTTTGCATGAGAATGGGATGAAGTATCCGCCATCTTAACGCACACAGTTCGCGTGTTGAAGCCCATGCACGGTACTGATGACGTCATTATATCACATTATGGTGATTTTCTCACGTTCAGTGGCATGCGGGCTGCTGCAACCCTCATGGAAACCTTTGTCTATACTCGAGTTCGTCAAAGTTTGAAACTACAGCGTAAGATGATAAATTGATGCGTGCGCATAACCTACCAGGCAGCTGGGTATATTTGCACTGTCTCTGTGCCGTAACGAACGCAGTTGTTCAGCTAGTCAAGAAATTCACAGCACTTCATGGAAATGCAACGTTCATTACCGTGTTCACAAGAGCCCATCATTTATCCATATCCTGAACCAGATGAATCCAGCTCTCACCCTCATCCTGTTTCTTTAAGGTCCATTTTAATATCTTCCTCTCATCTGCGTTTGGGTTTTCCATATGTTTTGTTTCCTTGAAGTTCCCCTACCAAAACTACGTAATTATTTATGTTCTCATCCGTGCTACGTGCTCCGCCCATCTCATCCCCCTTGATTGCCTCAACAAATGTTCATGACTCCATTTGGACGCCCAGGTTTTTAATCACTTACTGATTGAATCACAGGTTATTTAACGATAATGTATCAACTGTATGGTGTGTTTACAATATTTAACCGTATTAATCGATATGCAGATTCAGTTTTCAATTTGTAACCTCTTTTCCTAACAATCTCGAGTTCTTCGTCAGTTATTGGCTGGATATTCAGTTATTAAACGACGACGTATAGACTGTATGTTGTACTTATACTGTTTAAGTGTGGTGATGAACATGAAGACTACATTTGAAGCTTGTAATCTCTTGTAACAGAAATTTCGAGCTCTTTATGACTAATAGGATCGATCATCTTTTAGTTATCGATATGCTGTTAATTGCTCGGTAATTAATGTAATGATTTAATTTGGAATTTGCGTGTCTGATCATAATCATTGATTATTCTCCAGGCATACAAACTTCTGACTCAGATAAGGGCAAGGAAGGGCACAGTCATACAGAACAAGAGTTCGAGTAGAATTGATGAAGCCTACTTTATTGCAGAGATTTCTAGTCTCCATGGTGTGTTACTGTTAATGTTTTTGTTTAATTTTATTTTTCTGAAGAAATGACCACTGTAACTTAAGCACAGATTTCATATACGTTGAATTTGTCGGACATAACCTCAAATATCCCCACCGTTCCTATGTTTACAGATGTTGATTTCCATAATATTTCACACACAATTGGTGTTATATATATCCCTATATCAAATGTCATTCGCGTAGCTTCAGTAGTTAATTAATTTTTGCCACGAAACGAGAAACCAAAGAATATTTTCGTGTTGCTGCCTTGTGTTCAAATGTTACCATCGTCGCTATCACCTCACAAGTTTGGGCGTCCGCCATGTTTTTATTAATGACTATATAAAATTAAAACCTGTGGAATGAGGATAATCTCCAATGGCATGACTTTCAGGATAAATTTCGTGAAAATCTGTCAACTGGCTTAGAAATTAAAATGGTTTGACGCATTGACAGACACACAGAGAGAGCATGGCGTTCTCATAACCCTACTTTTTCCCCCTCTGAGAAGGAAACACAAGCCGAGTTTTCTCTCATAGGATTTGGCTGGTCACGAATCCGAGAACTTCTGCCTTTTATCTAGACTGGGCCCCTTCATACGGCGTTTTATGATGTTACTTTCTTGCTCAGCAGATTGCTGTAATATATTCTCCATCTCTGTCTCTTCCGTATTCAAGAGACAGAGGGAGGGTTACAGCAGAATATTATACATAGTAAACGAGGTGTGACCTGCATCGTGCAAAAAGTGTCTTCCTTTCTGTTATGTACTCTTGGCTTTTAACCCCATGCGCTGCAAAAACTGAAAGTGAAGTAATTTTACTAAGTCTTTACCCTTTTTCGCCTTGATGGATATGAAAGCATCCTAGTGTCCCTTTTAACCATTTGAAGCTTGGACGAAAAGGAGATAAATTTTAAGGGTTGGGGGTGGTAGTGAGAGATGCTACATTTTTAAGGCGGACAAACAGAAAATGTTCCGGCTTTGAAGGTTCCTAGGCATTGCCTGCTTATTCTTCTGATAAAGGTAGGTTAGAGAAAGGGTGAGACGTTGGAAAGTGAATGAGGTAAAGCGTTGGGAAGTGGAAATATTTTTTATATAAAAATGAGATAGAAGTTGGAGAGGGCCTTTACCGCCCTCGGTCTGAATTTTGGTGTTAGCGTTGGCATCACTGTGTTTAGGCGAGATTTTGATTTGAAATAAGAAGGGCTACATTAGGACAAAATTTTGATCTTCCCGATGCCAGAAATTTGGCACTATCCCTAACCAAGTAGATTCTAAAGGGTTCTGACGATGGTGGATGACACACAGAATTACCGGGTTTTTTTATTTTTTCAATCGTCCGAAATTCTAGGTAATAGAGAGCACGACGTTTCGGAAAC